AATTCAAAAACTAAGTTCAGATTACTGTCAACAGTTGTTTACAGTAATCTGAACTTAATTTGCAATGCAACCCGTTGGTTGCACATAAAAAATATATGCATATAAAACAGGTAATTGAGAAAAATTGTTTGTTTTGATTATTGCAAAACGCCTGGTAAGATTTAGATGTAATATGTTAAAAACCTTCCATCGCTTTCTTACAGGAACTATTCAGACTATTTATAAGGAGTATTATTTACCCCTGTAATAGTGGTGATATGAGGTCCACTATTAACAGACTCCGAGTGGTTTAGTGGCGGAACAATGAAACTATTTTTGATGTGCAGACGAATAGAGTATGGAGTAGATTTTTGGTCAACCCTGCCTATATTTATATGGTCGGCTACGTCGTTAGTTTACCAATAGTAACTATTTTTTTTGCCTAGCAAATTATAATTCATACTTTCTGACCAATAAAGATTAATCAAATATTATATACAACTATTATGTACGCTCCATTCGCCGGCGTGAGACTCATGGATAGCTTCTCGTAGCTGCGTTGCTGGACGGAGCTATAAAAGTGGTGCAGACCGGCGCGTGCGGGTATTCATAATATTAGGGGCCACAAAAGCCAAATTGGAATCCCGTAAGAAACTGCCAAAATTCAATACGAAGAGAGATTTAAAGGCAAATTGACGATTTGATTTTTAAAACATATGATTGAATTTTGTTTCATTTTTTTATTAAGCTATAATATAAGTATTCTAATTATATTATCGAGATTCATTTATTATCCCCAGTTAACTGTTATTTATTATTTATCTTAGCCCAAACATACTAAACTTTTTCGATAACACATTAAATTTTAAGGCCCCTGCGGAGGCAGAAGATGTTATTCAATTGAGGTGAAAAAAAGGTAAGTTGACTTTAATCATAATGCAGTAATACCGCGCTATTACGATTGATTTTTCATACAACGGCACTCCACCCTAGTAAACAGCAAATCCTGCGTGGAGCACTCACACCGCAGGTTGGTCGGCAGTGTGTTCCCCCCGCCATTAAGAGTCGAGTTGGACGCAAAGAGAGAGCCCAGTAGCCCGGCTTCGTCCTTTGCGGCGTGGGCGAGTGAGTCGTCCTCCCTGTGCAGAGATGAGAAAGATGGCTGACAGAAGTTCTTTTGAACGGCCTTGGAGAGAGACCAGAATGCACGTGTTCCTGAAGGAAGACGAATTAGTTTCTCGCCAATTCTGTCGATGTGCTCTGACTTTGCCTCGACAATGACACTTTTGAAGAACCTGGAGGCAGAATTATATTTATTTTTAAGAGCGCTGGTATTTGCATCCCGAGACGTCGATGCGTGAGCTTAGGTATTACATTAGTAGCACTCTTGCTTATAATGAAATGCAATTTTGCAGGAGCGACCAAACCATGGCTGTGTTCTGCCTCAGATAGGTGTGGTATCTATCGGAGTTAAACGAGAACCAAGCCATTCAGCGTGGTGGTCGTTAAAATCACCAAGCAACACGATCTCTGCGGATGGGATCTGTTGTAGCACGGAGTCTGCAGGACGGAGTCTGGACTGAGTCGATGAGTCGATCTGTGTCGACATTACCGCTATGGGCCCTATAGAGGCACCCGTAGACGCGGGGATGGTCATCGCTGTCTACGTGCAGCCATAAGATCGACAGTTCCGTACCTTCAAGGCCGCCGAGGTGTCGAAAACGGATCTTCTCTCTGACATACACGTAAATTCCAGCTCGGGGCACAAATGAGTGTCTAATTTGTCTCGGTTAGAAAGAGCAAGGCCGGCATCGCCGTTTGCAGATGGTAGTGGACGGCGTTGTGGTGTGAATGAAGTCCCCTGATGTTGCAGAAATTCACGGATTGGACGCATTTAACTTATTGCTCCGTTTGCCCTGAGTAGGTTTCGTCTGGAGCGGAATTTTACCCCACTGCCCCAGAATACGCGGGGCAGTTAGAGCACCCACGCTCAGTAGTGGAGTAGCTTGGTCGTGGATGCTCAGCGAGGGATTCTCCACGGGTACCCTCCTGGGGTAATCTTGCATTTAATTCCGCTACCATGTCGATGGGGGGAGGGGGGAATTGGGCCTTCGGCCATCTGCACTCACCAGACGAAACGTATAAGCAGAGCCTCTACTTCACGCTGGTCTTCTGTGGGGTCATGGTATCACCCCGGTTCGAGCCGGTCCATACGTGCAACAGCAAGCGCTGCGCGTGGCTCTACCTCTGTTAAAATTCTTGGCATGAAATTCGATTCTTGGCCCATTCCTGTTCTTAATCTATATTAATGACTTACCTTATCTTGTAGGAACAATCACGATATAGTATTTATTATTTGCTGATGATACGTCTTAAATTTTAAAACTCAAACGTCAGTCCGTAAATTTTGACAATGTAAATAATAATAATCATCATCATCATCATCATTACAGCCATTCACAAGTCCACTGCTGAACATAGGCCTCCCCCAAGGTATGCCACAAAGCATGGTCCTGGACCACCTGCATCCATCGACTTCCTGCAGGTCTTACCAGGTCATCACTCCATCTAGTGGGTCGCCCTACACTTCGCCTACCGGTACGAGGCTGCCACTCGAGAATCTTTTTTCCCAACGGTTGTTGGTTCTTCCAGCTATATAGCCGGTCCATTGCCACTTCAGCTTACTAATCCGTTGGGCTATATCGGTCGCTCTGGTTCTATTGCGATTGGATATCCTCATTTCTAAGTTTATCACGCAGAGAAACCACGAGAATAGCCCTCTCCAAAGCTCGCTGAGCGACTTTGAGCGTCCTCATACGGCCAGCAGTGGAGGACCACGTCTCAGTTCTATATGTCATCACTGGGAGCACGCACTGGTTGTAAAATTTCGTTTTCAGGTTTTGAGGTATACCTGATGAGAAGATGTAACGTAATTCCCCGAACGCTGCCCAGCCGAGTTGAATCCGTCGATTGACCTCTCGGTCAAAGTTGGACTTACCTAGTCGGACTATTTGTCCCAGGTAAACGTACTCGTCAACAACTTCATATAAATAATGCTCTATCGAAATTAGTTTAAAACCAACAATTTTCTCTAAACGGCAATAAGACAAATTTGTTAAATTAAAAATACCTAATGTTAAACATTCGATTACCAATGTGCTCTTAAATGGGGAGGAGTTGAGTCTTGTGGGCACCACAGTTTTTCTTGGTATTACTGTTATTGGAACTGGACTGGGATACAGCAGTGCACGCACAGCTGCTTGGTGATAGAAATTAGTAAGAGGGTATTACCTAGCTACGTGTGCTCATAGGCAATAAAGAATTCTACTGCACAAGGGATCCAGTCAGTGGAACCAGTTGCGTTTTTTTGATATTTTTAATCGGCTCATAAAAGGACCTAAACAGGATATAGACTTCTCTTTTTGTTGCTTTAATCGCGTTCGTCTTTGACGCTGCTCTTGGTATTTTATGTCTGACCTATCGAGATTTTATACTGCTATGCTTCGGAAACTTTAAGATGTTTGTATTATGCTCACAGCTGTCTCTTAAGATATCCACGGGACGAATTAGATTGTTTGGTTATCTTACACCACTACTCGATTATTTTTTATATTGTTGTTGTGAAATGAATCTTTTTAAATATAGAATAACGGTGACAAACGAGCATACTGTCAATCTGATGGTAAGTGGATGCTGTGGCCCATAGATATCTACATTTACCCTCGATTAAGAATCAAAATTCAGATGGGTTGTCACCCCTGAGAACTATGATGGAATGCCTCGTTTCCAGTGCAATGGGTATCTGGTGCTCTACACTCACTATACAAATTACAAAGCATTAATCTGATATTTTTCGCTGGTAATCTGAGAGAGCAGGTTCCTTCCCCGGTTGTGTCGACCCATGTGTGCTACAACTAATACAGCTGCGGCGTGGTTGTAACACGTATAAAATAAGCATAGAAATAAAAAAAAAGATAAATAAAAAAACTTTACTCAACGTCTAAATTGCTATTTAACTAATAACAATAATTACACAGTTGTTAATTTCTCCTTAATTAAAAGGATTACTTATGTTGAAAATTAAGTAATGAAAGCGGTAAATATTATTATTACCGCTCTGAATGAAAAGATGAATGACTCGGTCTGTTGATTTCTGTATTTTGTACCAATGTCAATATAATTTTTCTAAATTATTAGAAATGTTACGATAAAACTATCATTGGTATATTCGTATTGTCTTCCATCTTCCCATATTAAATTTTAATTTAAACTTTCAAAAATAACTGTAGAAAAAGTGTGCTCTATCCCGCTCTAGTAATTGGGTCGAAAAAGAATAGTGTACAAGCTTGATTGTGAATGTGGTCTCTCTTACATAGAACCTTTGATTATATACCTGTCTAGATGCCACATTGACCGTACCGAACGGCCCAAATAAAGTCTACTATAATTAGTAGACTCGCTTCTCACTGACGTCAGTGTCATTTGAATCACTTAGGGATAACGTGCTCACGAAAAATAATTAATTATGCCGGTTTGTGCTGTCAAATTGTGTCGCAATTATGTGGGAAAACCGAATAATAACACCAAGATCACTTTTCATCGGTAAGTTTTGTTATTTAACCATTATTATTTTAAGAAAACACGATTTTTTAATTCGTTACCTAGTAGGTTGGTCTGATTAGCCGGTGTTGTCAGTTTATTACTAGGGAGTTTTGGCGAAGTTATGGGAGACAAAATACAAATATTATTACATCATCTTTCGATCAGGAGAACATTATTATTTTAAAAATTACTTTATTTATTTGATCAGTGAATGATAACTTACCTACACAAAATAAATGAAACCCGTGACGTCATGCACTAAATAGTATTTTTGTTAGTTCTTTCTAATATTTTGGGTTTCAGATTTCCTACGGATTCCGTACTAGCAAATTGCTGGAAAGACATTATACAGCGGACACGAAATGACGACCAGTGGAAACCTCACAAGACTTCAGTTGTGTGTTCCAAACATTTCTCTGATGATGATTTATATTTTACAAAAAAAGGGATTTCGACGGCTAAAAAATGGATCGGTACCAAGCAAGGTAAGATATGATATGTTTTAAATCAATTTTTTTTTTTAAATTAGTAATGAAAAAATCATGCAGTATGGCTTTCAATAATACACATCAAGCTTAGAGCAGTGTAATTTTCATATTTTACTTATCTCAATTTTTTTTGTTACAGTGTCTGTTTTTGTCAGCGACAGAAACAGAATCCTCAACAAATATAAAACAAGTAAGTGGCTTAACACAACAAACAGACAAATTTACAATAATAATCATTAGTCTTTAATACGATTCATTTAATTTTAACAGGGCCCATCCGCTTCCAATAAGGCGATTGATATTCAAAATCAAATTTTTGAACCTAAACCTTCGTGCTCGAAGGAGCCGGTGAGTTATGATGATGAGCCAACGACAGTTTTACAAGATTTTTCAGACTTGGAATCGATATTTGATACTCCACGCAAAGTCAAGTTACGGCGTACATTACGCCGCAAGATAAAACTGGAACGCAAACATAAGGCTGTCATTAATTCATTAAGGAAAAAAAAACATTCGTCTGAAAAAGCAGAATATCTCTTTCAAATGTATTATCAAGACTTTGAAAAAAACAAAGATTGATCAATGAAGATGTACATAACGTCCTAGAAGGAAATTTATTTGCCGCTGATTTATACTCCCAAATGTCAAAAAAAATAAAAGGTCAAGGTAAACGGCCTGCTAAGTACTCCCCCGGAATTTCGGAAATTTTGTTTGACACTGCACTTTTTGTCACCACGTGCTTATAGTTTTGTCAGGAGAAAATTTGAGACATGCCTCCCACATCCCAAAACTTTAACTAAATGGTACTGCAATTTTGACGGTTCCCCAGGACTCACTGAAGATGCCTTTCAAACGCTAAAAGCCAAAAGAGAAAAATCTGAAAAAAACCTTATCTGCGCACTAATTGCAGATGAAATGGCTATCCGACAGCAAAAATGTTGGAACAATAAAACACATAAAGACGACGGGCTTGTTGACATCGGTTCTGGTCCCGATGAAAATATAAACAAAATGGCTTCCGAGGCATACGTTTTTATACTGGTCTCACTTAATGAGCCTTGGAAATTACCAATTGCCTATTTCCTTGTTCACGGGCTAACAGGCGTTCAAAAAAGTAGTATTATTAAGATTATTCTTGGAAGATGCAACGATGTAGGAGTAGACGTTGTGTCACTTACTTTTGACGGACATCCTACAAACCTGTCCGCAATGGAAATACTGGGGTGTGATATTAAATGTGATCCGAGGCATTTAAAAAACTACATTCAAGCACTCTTACGCCAATTACGATGTCGTCGTTTTTTTTGGATTCCTGCCACATGATAAAATTAATAAGGAACCACTTTGAATCCAAAGAATGTTTCTTGAATGAGAATAAAAAAAGAAATAAGATGGGAATACGTAAAAAAATTGTGTGATTTACAAAGTAAAACTGGCTTACATCTAGCTAATAAACTCACAAAAAAACATTTATATTTTAGAAACTCTATAATGAATGTCAAACTTGCAACACAAGTGCTTAGTAGAAGCGTTGCAAAAGCCATAGAATTTTGTCGGGTGGAATTAAATATCTCAGGTTTCGAGGATAGCAAAGATACGGAAGAGTTCATCATGTTAATAAATAATGTTTTCGATATTTTCAATAGTAGAAATCTAAGCCAACATGGATTTTGCCATCCATTATTAATATTTAATAAAGGGGAGGTATTCGATTTATTAGAGAAAGCAAAAGAATTTGTCTTGAAATTGAGTCTTAAAGTTTCTAGAAAAAGAAGTTATAAGGAAGGAGAACATTCAAAAGCAATCATTATAAAAACCAATACATCTGTTTTAAAATCACAAATATTTACCGGTTTTCTAGGGATATTAATTGATATAGAGAGTTTAAAAAAATTGTATGACTCCCTTATACCCACCAAAAAACTAAAATATTTGGCAACATACCGCTTAAGTCAAGATCACATTGAATTATTTTTTGGTGCCGTACGAATGCATGGAGGTTACAACGATAACCCGAATGCGAGACAATTTAAGGGAATTTTCAGAAAGCTTCTATGTCACATGGAACTCAAAGCAGTTGATTCTGGTAATTGTGTGCCTTTAGAAAGCGTCAGCATCCTAACATGTACTTCTGCAGTCAAATGTATAAATGAAACTACGTCTCAAACGCAAGCAGAAGATGACAATGAGTGTGATACTGTAAGCGCTGCTCCATATGATATTTTAACACAGACTGATATTTCTTTATTAATTAATCCAGAATATACAGACTATTTCGAGCAAGTAGTTGGTTACATAGCAGGGTTTGTTGTTCGACGTATTTGTGGACTGATTAAATGTAATAACTGTATTCAGGCCATTAAATCAAACGAAATATTACAATTTCATAAATTAGTTAGTATTCGAGATCAGGGCGGTCTTATATATGCTTCGGAAGATGCGTTCAACATTTGTAAGGCTTCTGAGTACGTCATTAGAGACTTTATAAAACAGGGCTACATAGTAACAACATCCTCTAATTATGAACAGATAAGTCTTAAAATAACTAGTCAGTTTGTCGGTCAGACTTATTTCAAAAATATCAGTGATTGTTGTCAACATCACCAAACAAGCCTGTTAAGACTAATAATAGAAAAATATTTGCAAATAAGATGTCACCATATTTATAAATCAGATAACGTAGCCCAGGCAATAAAATCAAAGAGAAAACTATTCCGAAAACAAACACAAAGAGATGGCTTTTGATCTATAAATTACTCTATATTTTTTCATAGCATTTTTTTTGTTGTTACTAAAATAAATAAAAAACAAATCTACGAAATAATTCCTTTATTCAACCTATTTTGTTTAACTTTTATCTTATTAAACAAGTATAAAATCAAAGCCTCGGCCGTTTGGTCTCCCCAGACGAGGTCTCCCATCTGGTTAGGTTTTATTTATTTATGTACTTATTTTATTTTATTGATATTTATGCATATCCATCATTTTCATTTATATATTTATTAAATTATAACTAAAAGTACATAAATAACAAAATTAACTATATAAATACCAAAAAAAATAATATTGTTTATTCGTTAAACATGGTACATTAAAGATGACAAAAAGTTGTAAAATTATTTAACATAATATACATATTAAATCATTATTTTTATAAGTAACCAAATCAATATATTATACATAATTAAAATTAAATTAATTAAATTAAAAGTACAATTGTCATGACAATAATTATCATTTTATAATTAGGCAAATTAAATTAAATATATATAGAAAAAAAATTAAAAAGTCAAATGAGTACTTAATCTAATGGGAAATATTCAAGAGCTGGTATCACTCAGCTCGCCCCCGGGTGACGCAGCGCGCTTGTTAAACAATAGTAGTTACACGTACTTGTGTGTGTAATAAGCACACAAGCGCTTCAAATCTGGCCTGTTGTTTTGGTTGCGATTGTAGCGCAACACTCTATCTAGACAGGTATATAATCAAAGCATAGGACAAACTAAAAGATCAATTAAAACCCGCGTTAAAGAACATATAGCTGATGTGAAGACTCGACCCTCCGAGAAGTCTGCAGTCTGTGAACACCTACAGGATCGCCACCGTCACTACACGGATTTAATAGACCACAAATCCTCGTTAAAGAATACTAATTCCTTCCTAGGATGATTCGTGAGGCTATTGAACTCAAAAAGCATCCTGATTTCAATAGAGAAGGTGACTGGGTGCTACCATTTGCTTGGGATCCTATAATTAATAAAATTAAAACCCAACCCAAGTATACAACTGTAAGACTTCAAGATACTATAAGTTCATACTGTGTAGATCGGAATATAAGTTAAATTTTAATCTGTGGTAACCGCGGTTAACTATGACATCTGGACGTTGAACACCTCACCTCAGTCCCCGTGGCCATGTGTGCTGTAAAGTACTCGAAATGTCGGGTATATAAAAAAGTTAATATACGCGAAAAAATCCGTAAAAACTTAAAATATTTATTTGAAATTATTCGCAACTAATAACTTGGCTTTAGGTGAATATGTATGCGTATAGCGTAACGCGTAAAGTATTTAATTATGTAAATATAAATATATGCTTCCTGTCGGCTTTCATCCACAAATACACTATTGAGGGTCTCCAGTTATCTACAATCACCAACTCACCATACGAAACACAGCAGCGTTATGCTGCTATTTTACGCTGGTATTCTGTCTGTATTCTGGTATTCGGTCGAGCCGACCCATTCGTACTACAATTATACTATTAGTATGCTGCAGCTGTAGCGTGGCTCTACCGTGTATAAATTGTTTTTTTTTCTGCATTCTTTTGCTTTGCTTCTTGATTCTCCTCTTCTACTTGATTTTCCTTCTATATTTCCTTATATATATATATATATATATATATATATATATATATATATATATATATATATATATATATATATATATATATATAGGGGGATAAGTCGCTCGCGTCCGTAGGCTTTGACCACCTAATCCTAGGCCCACCCTACACGTGTCCCCCGGGTGGTGCTAAATGAGCGACAAGCCGATAGCACAGACTCGGCTCCTCGCCGTGGTAGCGGCGTTAAATATACCACCCCATTCGCACCATGAGGAATCAAAGTAAAGAAATGGCCCCGAGTTCCCGGCGCCCCTTTAATGGGGCAGGGGTGCGAAGAATCTCCGGGAGGAAAACCGGCGACGAGGCTCGCCACCCGTCACGTTCTGTCTCCCGGAGGGGCGAAAAGTGGATTGCAGAGGCCCGTCTGGCTACGTTGAATGTATGTGGAGCAATGAATGATAAAATGGGTGAAGTATGCGAGGTGATGTATGATAGAGGAATAGATTTGTTATGTGTAAAAAAAATAAGAATAGAAGGGGAGTTGATCGAGCAAGTAGATGAGTTTGTATATTTGGGTTGCGTATTTAGCAGGGATGGGAGATATGATAAGGATATAGAACGACGAGTGAACGCAGGAAACAGAGTAAATGGAGCCCTGCACTCTATTGTGAAGAGTCAAAATGTGTCAAAAAAGGCACGTATGGCAATTCACAATGCTGTGTTGGTCCCTACTTTAACGTATGGTAGTGAAAGTTGGGTGTGGCAGAAGAAGCACGAGAGTAGAATAAATGCAGTAGAAATGAGGTCGTTAAGGAGTATGTTAGGGCTGAATCTGAATGACAGGGTTAAAAATTGTGTGATAAGAGAAGAGTGTGGTTTGCAAGATGATGTTGTGACCAGGATTAAGAAAGGAATGCTTCGGTGGTTTGGGCATGTGGAAAGAATGGATGAGGAAAGAGTGACAAAGAAAATTTATGTTGCAGAAGTGAATGGCAGAGTCGGAAAGGGACGTCCTAGGCGAAAATTTATCGACCAAATTGGCGATTTATTGAAAACGGGCCAAATTAGGAGTACCCTTAACCGACGAGCATGCATGCGTAGGTGTATGGATGTGAAGGAGGCGAGAGAGGTGTGTCAGGATCGTGCCAAATGGAAGTCTGTAGTCTCTGCCTACCCCTCTGGGTGACAGGCGTGAGTGTTTATGTTTATGTTTATATATATACTTTTCTACTATA